GGATTAGATGTTTGCCATCCACGAGTTTCCCCTTAAGAAACAAGTAGCGCCCTTCTTAGTCAGCTAAAGAGTCCGTGATTTCCAGGTGGAGATGTTTGGCAATAAGAATAGAGACTCCCTTAGATTTTGCCAGGGGGTTAGAAGCATGGTACACCAATGGATAACGAGCGCTAAAGAGTTTGGGAATGGCATCCGACCGGAAATGTGTCTCTCGCATGAAGACAACGTCAACTTTCTGTTTTTGCATTGAAGAGAGCCAAAGGGAGCATTTTTCAGGCATGTTAAGGCCTTTGGCATTAAGAGAGAGCACTTTTAAGGTAGTGTGGCCTGTTGATGTTCTGGGAGCTTCGATAATAAAAGGAGTGATAATCCGAGTGGGTGTTTTAGGTTCAGGTCAAGGTAAGAGAGAAGGAAAGGGGGAAAAATTCCAGGCGAAAAGATTAAAAAAAAAAAAAGGGGGAAATAGCAATGTTAGAGTCGATCCATCACCTCTTGGGTATTCAATATGTAGAAGAGAAGTGGTGTATAAGGTCGCATGACTGCCTCTGGAGGGCAAGGTAGTGGTATCACGTATGTTATGTATGCAATTGTTGCGGGGTAAGAGTAGGTGGAGGTCTCTCAGAGTTGAAGAGAAGCAAGCTGAAAACAAGAAAAAATATCAAGGCATAGCACCAGAGTCACATATGAGCAACATACAGTTGCAAGAAAAAGTATGTGAACCCCTTGGGATTACGTGGAGTTTTGAATGAATTGGGCATAAAATGTGCTCTGAACGTCATCTAAGTCACAACAATTGAAGAACACAGTCTGCTGAACATAATACTACACAAACATTAGATGTTGCCATGGTTTAATTGCACATAACATGTAAACATTCACAGTGCAGGGAGGAAAAAAGTATGTGAACCTTTGGACTTAATACCTGGTTGACCCTCCTTTGGCAGCAATAACCTCAACCAAACGTTTCCTGTAGTTGCAGATCAGACCTGCACAACGATCTGGAGTAATTTTGGACCACCTTAAAATGGCGCACCTTAAAATGTCTTCCTTAAGTGGAAAGTTTACAAGACAGCAGATAACATCTCGTGGGGGGTCAGTGTCTCTGCCCCTAGGGCGGGTGGCACGCTGTATGCGTTCCAGCTCAGTGGGGGTAGCAGGTGGGCGGCCCAGCAAGTCATTAAAAAATAACAACTTTAGAAACATCGCCCTGCTCCACTGACTCTGGTAGGCCGCGTATTCTAACGTTAAGTCTGTGGCCACGGTTATCCAAGTCCTCTAGGTGCCTATAGAAGTCACGGATATGCTGAGAGTGAGATGTAGTTACTTGTTGTACCTGTTGTATGGTTTCCGCGTACGTTCTAGTAGTGAGTTCAACTCCCTCTAATCTTGTACCTAGCATTTGTAAATCTCTGCATAGGTCAGCTAGGGCTGTAGTTAATGTGTCCTTAATGTCTGCTGCCACTGCCTGAAGATCCCTCAGAGAGTGTTTGTGCAGACGAGGAGAGATCATGCTGTGGCTGTGGCTGGCTGGCTCTCACAGGGCTCTGTGAGCATGCTGAGGCTGTGGGAGAGGGAGGGGAGGAAGATGGCGGCGGTGTGTCCCTCTGCTGGGAGCGGAAGAGCTTCGTTATATGTCGGGCTTGCTGTGAGCACAGAGCCCGGGGGGAGCAGGATTGGGAAGCGGGGTCTTGGATCACGGCTAGACCATGCCCCTGTGTGTGTCTGTGTCTCTGTGTGTATGTGTGTGTATGTCTCTTAGTGTGTGTATGTGTGTGTGTTTCTGAGTGTAGGTGTGTGTGTTTGTGTCTTAGTGGGTGTATGTATGTATGTGTGTGTGTTTGTGTCTGAGTGGGTGTGTGTGTATGTATGTATGTGTGTGTGTCTGTATGTGTGTCTCTGACTGCGTGTGTGTGTGTGTTTTCAGTGGGTGAGCTCTGAAATTAAATCTCTTAGAAAGAGAGCTTTGTACTTGTCTGTGGGGAAGAACTTGGATGTACACAGCACACCTCTCAATCTTGCATGCCGTACACAGTGCACCCCTCAACCCTGCACTCCGTACACAGTGTAACCAGAACTCTGTAGACAGTGCACCCCTCACACCTGCACTCCATACATAGCGCACCCCTCAACCCTGCACTCCATACATAGCGCACCCCTCAACCCTGCACTCTGTATACAGCACACCCCTCAACCCTGCACTTCATATATTGTGCACCCCTCAACCCTGCAGTCTGTACGTAGTGCCCACTTCAATCCTGCACTCTTTTTGTACCCTGGCAGCCCATCCTCGGAGATGCTGCTCACATTGGGCTCTATTCCTACCTGCACTCAGTCAACCTTCATAGTTGTGTATTCTCTGCTATGCTCATTGCTAATAACAAGTTTTGGAATGTTCTGTCTATTGGTGGGTCTTGTCCCCTCTGCAGTTTGTGGTGTGCAGGAAGGTAGGAGATTGTGTGCTGTAACCTCTAGCGACCAATCAGTGAGCTGTAATGATGTGGAGTATCCTCTAGCAGCCAATTTAGTGAGCAGTAATAATGTGCAGTGACCTATATCAACCAATCAGTTTGCAGTAATGATGTGCAGTAACCTCTAGCAACCAATCGGTGAGTGTTAATGTTGTGCAGTAACCTCTAAGAACCAATGTATGAGCGGTAAGGATGTACAGTACCCTCTAGCAATTAATCAGTGAGTAGTAATGATGTGCAGTAACCTCTAACAACCAATCAGCAAGAAGAAATGATGTGCTGTAGGCGCTAGCAACTGATCAGTGAGCCATAATGTGTGCTGTAACCTCTGGGAATCAGTCAGTGAGTAGTAATGATAGGCTGTAACCTCTGGCAACCAATAACTGCCTGATCTGCTACAGTAAACTAATTTTGAGTCTAGCTGCTATTTACTGTATGTCTCAGAGTGGGGGGCTGAGGGGGGTGGCGGCTAGGAGGGCCCCAAAAAAAGTTTGCCCAGGGACAAAACAATATTAAAGATGGCCCTGTCCAGTTGGAGTCCCTGAGGATACACAGGATCCAAGGTGTCCAAACAAGGCAAGTCCCATCCCCCCATCCACAGGGATGGGGGGCTGCCAAGGAACAATGGCAGGCGGTAGATCTAACACACTGGTGGAAATTATGGGCAATAATAAGTGAAGAAGGTAACAAAAATAAACTGCTGAAAAGAGGAAGCATGCTGGAGCTCCTGAAAAAGAGCTCACATGCGGTTCGGCTCCAGGAAAAAGTTGTTGGACATACTAGTTGGGATAAAAGGGCACTTTAAAGAAGAAGTATGCTGGAATACTTGCAGAAACAAGGAGGTAGATAAGGGTGTAAACAGGTGACCAGCCAATCAGATGCAGTGTTCCGGAATGTCAAAGAGTTGAACCTGGCCTCCATTGGTGATGCAAAGCTTGTTTAGGTAGAGAAAGCTGAATTTAATGTTTTTATCCTGGAGACGTTTGCAGGTCTCAGTGAAAGACCCATGACGTTTTTTGTATCCCTGGTGAATAATCCAGAAATAGCAGAAGCTTTGTATTCTCATAGCTGATGTTTTGCATGGAGAGTGTAGCCACCAGGATATGGTCCCAGTCCCTGTAATTCAGCAAGCGTAGAAGAAAAGAGGTGGTGGGGATTTAGGTATGGGAGGCGTAGAAGGAACCCCATGGGCTCGTTCCACTACAAATGTGGATGGCATGTTGCTGAGGTCAAAGAGGGCAGTCAGCAGTTGTTCTGTAAACTCCACAGGCTTGGTTCCTTCTGCTCTCTCCGGGAGACCAAAAATTCAAATATTATTTCTCCAGGTTGTGTTTAAGTAGGCTGATATCTGCTGCCAGAAAGTCTATCTTGGCTGTCAGTGTCTCTTTACAAGCAGTGATTGCCGCCAGGAGATCCACACTGGATGGGGCCCCCTCCTCTCCAGCACACAAGGAAGTCTGCATACCCACAGACAGGGCTGCAGCAGCGGGCCATGTGGACAAGATGGCCACCGAAGAAGAAAGTTAGGGGTTACTCGACTGAGCTTGCTGGATGTCATGATGGCTCCAAAAAGGTGACAGGTGTGTACCTGAGGGTGTTGTCAAAGTGCCCGATCCTGAGTAGCTAAAAAAGCTCAATGAAGGCTGTTGGAGAAAAGGCTGAGAAGCTTCAGTGGCGTGAGTCCAATTAGTTTCATATTCCAATCGCTCTACCCCCCCCCCCCCCCCCCCGCAGCGATACTTTTGGAGGAAACATCCCTTAAAGAAACAGCCACACTGGGTGGCATAGTCTATAACTACCAGGATGTACTTCTGACCTCAGAACCTCAAGCACAAGCAATGGGACCAGCAGGATGCAGTAATGGAAATAAGGTCTGATATTTGACATTTGAGATAAGACTTGCATAAACCTTTGACTTATGTATGCATCCCAAGCTAAAATAACTGTGGGCTTTCATACACCAAGTGTCTCCTCGAGGAGATGTGTATGGGCAAAATAGGTACCATGAGTTGTTCCACAACTTAACCCCAAATTTTAGTAATCTGGTCCAACAATTCTTGGTGGTTTGCAATATGAAAAAAAAAACATTCTGAACCACAGGCCATTCTGGGTTCTTATTGTTTGCTTTCACATTTTCCCATGTTTCCCATGTGATAGTAGGATCATGTAATCAGTGGTTATACAGTTATTTTGAGGGACCTCTAGTTCTAATATACTGTGCAATTCAGGGGAAACCTCTGGCTCACCCGAAAATAACTTCTATTTTAGTGGTCAAACTTACAGCATTAGTATCAAAGTTACGTTCATCAGGTCAGCTGTCCATTCCATGGAAACTATAGTACTTTCAAGTTCAGGGGCCTTTTCCTTCCCACTGTGCAGTTCTTGGAACAATGAAAAGTCTCTCCCCAGGATTACACTGTGCAATAGGAATATGACCACAGCCAACTTATAGCAGAAAGTTCCAAAGTTAGTTTCTAAGGGTATCAGTGTGGTACTTTAGAGTCACTGTGTACCCACGCTACTCCTACCTGGTGCTGGGTCAATTGTTCATGCATGATGAGCTGGGTGTGGACCAGGGTAACAAGGATCCTGAAGTTTAGGAAGGCATGCACCCAGGGGCGGACTGACAACTCATGGGGCCCCCCGGGCAATAGGGGATCATGGGACCCCTGTGTCCTTGCCCAAACTCAAAAAAGCCTATGAAAAAGGTACCAGGGGCATCTCATGGGGCCCCCTACTGACCCCGGGCCCTCGGGCAGTGCCCAAGTTTCCAAATGGTCAGTCCGCCCCTGCATGCATCTATCTTTACCATGTAGTACGGCACGCCAGGATGTACGACCAGACACAGCCATGTAAACTATGACAACCATTAGAACAACCATCAGACTAGACCAGGGTTCATAGGCCATTGGGTCAGAGGGCACTTGGTGGCAATATGTCCCTACTCACTACACTATTGAGGATACCCATGGGTTATGCCAGCCTGAGCTTCCCTTAAAAGAGGCATCTTTCCAACCATTCTTGCAGGCCTCTGGGTGCCTCTACTTTGTGGATTTACAGGACATAAACCTATTTTTGAACTGGTTTCTATGGGACAACACCTTTTGATTGCTAGGGATTTAAAAAATGTAGACTTGTCCAAGAGGTCCTCCATAGCAGATTAATGCTCCACCAACTTCACCAGTTTTTTGGCCAGTTGATTTTGGATTGCCTTGCCTCTCCCACTTTTGCAAATCCCAAGGTAGAGCCCTGTGGGAACCTTGGACTGCAGCCACCATTAACCAGATTAATCAGGTCATACATTTTGAAGCAGGAGAACCCCTCCATCTGATAGCTCCAGCTGTTTACTGCTGTGTTTTCACTGAATTTGTCACCCCCCAAATGTCAAAGAATCTCTGTTTTTATGTTGTCATAATCCTAGATATGCTCTAAGGTCATGTCAAAGCACACCTTTTGGGAGGCACAAATACAATGAAATGTCAAGCACTGGCCACCATTCTTTATGTCAGATCCTCCTTTTGCAGTCTTCTTCTCACAAGTACATAACAAAGTTTCTACATCATCTTGGGCTATCATTCTTTGCAGGAGGTGGCTTACTGTGCCTGAACTGAGGTCACGGAGAAAATGCTAGAACAACTTGAAATCTGGGTTTCCACCTATTGCATTCCTTCTGTTAAGGCCTGCATTCTGTTGCTTAATCCAAAGTCACCTGATCCTCAGTACACTGCACCTCTTCTGTTAAGGCCTGTTTCTCTCTGCTGCCTGGGCCAGAAAAAAAAAAAAAACAAATTGAAATGCAAAGGCAATTTCTAGTAACATTAAATTACATTATGGTTTGTGTAGCACATTTTTTTTTACACAAAAGTGGAGTTACTCTCTAAATTATGTCCCAAGTGTATAAAGGATGTTGCTTAACCACCCTGCATGCTGCTACTCATGACTCTTCCCTGGACCCAAATGGGCTTATACATACATATTATATTTTATCTAATTTGGCCCATCTCTACTGAATTTTGATCCATGTACGGCCAGCCTAAGAATTGGGGAGGCACTCCTTGTTTTCTCAGCTGTAGGTCAGAGGACCCATTTGGAGCCTGGGATTGTCCAATGTGGAAAGATTACCATTTTGTGAATCAATTTATGGGGATGATTGCAACCAAGCCATTCCTGGTGCCGATAGCTCCTTATACAGGCATGGACATAGATGTCCAACATCATTATTAAATAATGATTTAAACAGTTAAATACTGAAAGGCATAATATATCAAATTCAACAAAGGTGTAAGGAAAGTCTATTAGATAATAAGGAACTGTGATGACAAACACTGCACGTTACTAGTTCTAAATCTGTTTTTTCTATGTTATTTTTTTTACAAAGTAAGTATTTCTAAGTAATGCATTTAGCGTGGCCAAAGATGTCAGTAGCAGATAAGAAAACTGCACAAGTAATTTTTATTAGTTCATTTGGCACAGAAGCAGGGGAATAATACAGTCTATGCAAATCTTGTGGTTTCTGTAACAATCTAACTGTGGCAGTGTCCAGGTAGTTTTTCATGGAACAAATTGCAGGGGGGATGTTCTCATATTTATCCCATACAAACAATGCCAACTGCATAAGATAAGCTATGGTTGGTCACCGAACATTGTTTGTGAATAATAATAGTATGCAATGTAATAGAGTAAAAGAGTCAGCTTACAGACTGTTTAGGAACATGATTAAAACCTATATAATAGCTCTTTTACTGCAAAAACAGATATTCTAAGGTATTTAGTACAATACACAGACCTGCTCTCAACTTATGTGCAACTGATTACAATGAAGCATTCAATTAACTTTTTTCATGTTTTTTATCAGAAAATTAAGTATTTATTGATGTATTACAATGTAACCGGACTAGCAACCCACACAGGTTGAACTGGTATCTTTATTCAACCTTACCAACCATGTAACTATGTAACAAGTCTGCTTATTCCACAATAGCACTCAGACATAGCAGCATCCTATGGCTTGTTCACATTATTGTGAATAAAAATTCATATGTGTTTTCAGGCTCTTTCCTGTGTCATCCTTCCTTTTTCTTTTTGTAGGAGATAGAGAAGATAGATAGAGGAGCATTTATTTTTCCTTGTGGTGTTTCTAGCAAGCCATGTAATGTCTTCAGTCATTGCCCTGATTTGTGTACTAGCACTAGTTTTTTGAGGAGGAGGAGGAGGAGGAGGAGGAGGATGATGAAGTTGAAGAGATTGGGTCATCAGCATCCGTACTGAGTTCATCCTATACTTTTTGTATGTAAAACCAAATGCTATTTCTGGTCCTTATAAGGGGAATTGTGGGCACACCATAAAACATTTTTGGCATGTGCATTTCCATTGGAAGGTAGCTGTGCATATGCATTTTTAACATGCATATACATACGTTTGTTGCCTGACATGTGAAAGGTAAGAATCTGTTGTTATTAGATTTTAATATGAATAGAAAAATACACCAGATAAGATAATAACATTGTGAACTGCTCCGAAAGCTCCAGAAATTGCTCATACACTATATTGCCAAAAGTATTGGGACTCCCCTTCAAAATCATTGGATAAAGGTGTTCCAATCACCTCCATGGTCACAGGTGTAAAAAACCAAGCAAAGAACAAAAGAACCGCTTCCTGCGCTCAAGAGTGGTGAAAGGATGGAAATATTTCTGGTCCTTAAAAACATCAGCACACACCTTGCTGCCCTCTAAGGGTCAGGGAAAACCCAAAGTGCTCACTTCAAAAACAAGGAAACAGAGGGCGCACCGGTCTAGTTTATTACCTGAGAATTAACTGTATTGAGTTAAAAGGACATATATATACACACAAATGACTGTGTTGACAAAAGGCATTTTAGAATCCAAAGCAATCACGTCACCAGGTCAGCTCCCAAAGCGCAAGAAGACCCTCAAATTCTGACACTTTTCGAGGGGCAATCCCCTTTTCATCAGAGCCTCTGATGAAGAGGGGATCGCCCCTTGAAACGTGTCAGTAATTTGAGGGTCTTCTCGTGCTTTGGGAGCTGACCTGGTGACATGATTGTTTTATATACTGATATGTCTTTGTCAACACAACTGTTTGTGAGTATACAGTTAGGTTCATATATATTTGGACACAGGCAAAATATTCATACTTTGGCTCTGTATGCCACCAGAATAAATTAAAATGAAACAATCCAAATTAATTTGAAGTGCAGACTTTCAGCTTTATTCAAGGGTTTGAACATAAATATCAAGTACAAATTATAAGAACTGCAACCATTTCTATACACAGTCCCTCTGTTTTCAGGGGCTCAAATGTAATTGGACAAATTAATATAATCATAAATAAAATGCTAATTTTTAATATTTTGTTGAGAATCCTCTACTGGCAATGACTGCCTGAAGTCTGGAACCCATGGACATTACCAAAGATTGGGTTTCCTCCTTTCTGATACTTTGGCAGGCTCTAACTGCAACTGTCCTCTGTTGTTCTTTGTTTGTGGGTCTTTCTGCCTAGTTTTGCCTTCAGTAAGTGAAATGCATGCTCAATTGGGTTGAAATCAGGTGATTGACTCAGCCATTGTAGAATATTCTGCTTCTTTTCCTTCAAAAGCTCCTGGGTTGCTTTTGCAGTGTGTTTTGGATCATTGTCCATCTGTACTGTGAAGCGCCATCCAATCAACTTTGCTGCATTTGGCTGAATCTGGACTGACAGTATATCTCTAAACACTGCAGAATCATCCGGCTGCTTCTGTCACATCACCAATAAATACCAATAACCCAGTGCCACTGAAAGGCATGCATGTCCATGCCATCACACTGCCTGCACCATGTTTTAGAGATGACGTTGTGTGCTTTGGATCATGAGCTGTTCCGAGCCTTCTCCACACTTTTTTCTTCCTGTCATTCTGGTACAGATTAATCTTAGTTTCATCCGTCCAAAGAATGTTTTCCAGAATTAGTCTGGCTTTTTTAGATGTTTTTTGGCAAAGTCTAATCTAGCTCTTCTATTCTTCAGGCTTATGAATGGTTTGTACCTTGTGGTGAACCGTCTCTATTTGCTCTTGTGAAGTCTTCTCTTGATTGTAGACTTTGACAATGATACGCCCACCTCTTGGAAAATGTCCTTCACTTGTCTGGATGTTGTGAATGTGTTTTTCTTTACCATAAGAGGATCCTGCGATCATCCACCACTGTTGTCTTCCTTGGACATCCATGCCTTTTTATTTTGCTGAGCTCACCAGTGCATTCTTCTTTCCTCAGAATGTACCAAACTGTTGATTTGGCCACTCCTAATGTTGCTGCTATCTCTGTGATGGATTTGTTTTTGAAGCCTTACAATGGCCTGTTTTACTTGCATGGATGACTCCTTTGAACGCATGATGTAGGTTAACAGCAATAGATTCCAAATGCAAATACCATACTTAGAATCAACTCCAGACTTTTTACCTGCTTAATTAATGAAGAAATAATGGAGTAGTCCACACCTGGCCATGAAACAGCTTTTGATTCACTTGTCCAATTACTTTTGGTCCATTGAAAAAGGGGGGGGGTGGCTACTCTTAAGAGCTGTAATTCCTAAACCCTTCCTCCAATTTGGATGTACAGTACAGTACCCTCAAATTAAACCCGAGAGTGTGCACTTTCAGCCTATATCCATTTTATACCTATAGCTTGAATATGTTTTGGTAAACACCTGGAAAAAAACTAAAATTGTACCTGTGTTCAAATATATACAGTATGGACCTAACTGTATATCTCCTTTTAACCCAATAAAGTAAATTTGCAGGTAATGAACTAGGCCGGTGTGCCTTCTGTTTCCTTGTTTTTGCAGGAAAAAATCAAGCACCTAGGTATGCAAACTGCTTCTACAAACATTTGTGAAGGAATGGGTCGCTCTCAAGAGCTCAGTGAATTCAAGTGATACCGTGATAGGTTGCCACCTGTGCATCCGTGAAATTCCCTTGCTAATAAATATTCTACAGTCACCTGTTAGTGGTATTATAACAAAGTGGATACAACTAGGAACAAAAACAACTCAGCCACAAAGTGGTAGGCCACGTAAAATGACAGAGCAGGGTCAGCACATGCTGAAGAGCACAGTGCGCAGAAGTCACCAGCTGTCTGCAGAGTCAATAGCTAAAGTCCTCCAAACTTCGTGTGGCCTTCAGACTAGTACAACAACAGTGTGTAGGGAGCTTCATGGAATGGGTTTCCATGGCTCAGCAGCTGCATCCAAGCCTTGCATTACCAAGTGCAATGCAAAGCGTCAGATGCAGTGGTGTAAATCACGGCGCCACTGAACTCTAGAGCTGTGGAAACGTGTTCTCTGGAGTGACTAATCATGCTTCTCTGTTTGGCAATCCGATGGACATGTCTGAGTTTGACAGTTGCCAGGAGAACGGTACTTGCCTGACTGCATTGTGTCAAAGTGTAAAGTTTGGTGGAGGGGGGATTATGGTGTGGGGGGTTGTTTTTCAAGGGTTGGGCTTGGCCCTTTTGTTCCAGTGAAGGGAACTTTTAAGGCATCAGCATACCAAGACATTTTGGACAATTTCATACTCCCAACTTTGTGGGAACAATTTGGGGATGTCCCCTTCCTTTTCCAAAATGACTGCACACCAATGCACAAATCAAGGTCCATAAAGACATGGATGAGTGAGTTTGGGGTGGAGGAACTTGACTGGCCTGCACAGAGTCCTGATCTCAACCATATAGAACACCTTTGTAATTAATTAGAGTGGAGACTGTAAGCCAGGCCTTCTCATCCGACATCAATGCCTGAACTCACAAATGCACTGCTGGAAGAATGGTCAAATATTCCCATAGACACACTCCTAAACCTTGTGGACAGCCTTCCCAGAAGAGTTGAAGCTGTTAAAGCTGCAAAGGGTGGGCCAACTCAATATTGAACCCTACGGACTAAGACTGGGATGCCGTTAAAGTTCATGTGCGTGTAAAGGCAGGACGTCCCAATTTTGGCAGTATAGTGTATATGTTAATTCAATACACAGTTGTTTATTATGCCTTTCCATAGTACTGAAAAATGAAAGCTTAACCTACCCATATACATATAAGGATAAGTTCACCTTTGGGAATATGTTACATCTTCCACCCATTTTTAGGGTGGAGCATGTAACATAATCCCACTGTTGCAACCTCTCCCCAACAGTGAGCCAGGGATCTTCTCTCCAAACTTGCTGTCACAATTTAAAAAAAAAAAACACGGCCATGCAGAGCTCCACCTGTTCAGCCATGTAATTCATTCACATAGTTCTATCAATGGAAAAATTGCAACTACCATAAGCCTCTGCAGCTGACAGCTTGTAAAAAATTAAAAAATGAACTATCAGAGTGCTGGTGAACGTTCTAGGTAGTTCATTGATGGTTCCTGTCATTGTGCAATGCTTTAAGGCTCCTAATAAAAAAATAATAACTGCACATTTTTTACTTGCAAAAAGATGTGCATTTGATAATTTTTTTAAAAGGGTGGCTATTATGTTTGTGGTCTCAATTTTAAACTAGAACAAATAAATCTGTCAAGTTTAAAATTTAGTCTCATTTGTGCTGAGATTCCATGGTCATTACTATTAATGGTTAAGAAATTAGAACAATGAGGAATTCTAAGCCCTTAAAGTAAACATGTTGCCACAATGTGTACATTCAAGGATTAACATATTATTAAGTAGCAGGAAGTGTGCTTTAAAACACACTGTTATTGTTCTGTGAACCTACAGACAATGTGCAAAAATCCATCCTCAAAGTTCAGAGAAGAAGCAGTACAGTCGTTCACTTTTTTTTCTCTTTTTAGCTGATTAGCCCACATTGCTTCCCGCTCCAGAGTTCCTGCTTTATGTTTACATTTGAGTAGCATTGCCCCCAAGAAAGTCACTGGTTTTGGATCCCCCTATTTTCCTGCACAGCCAGGAAATACACATTTTCCAACTTTCATTAAGAGGCAGTAATCAGTCCATGGGCTTGTTTTTGTTGTTTTATTAGGGGATAAACAACTTGGAGAGGGTCTGGGGGTATATGGGATGCCCAACTTGACTTTAAACTAATAACTCACACAAACTCAAGACAAACTTCACAAAATATAGGATCCTAGACTCAAGAGTGGCATCAGTCTCTTCACGCACCAGTAGCAAAGTCTCTGTGAGAAGCTCTTGGTCCCCTCTAAGTGAACCTCTTCAGACCCCAGCTAGAAACTACCCATCCACCTGGCTGTCTTTTGAAGGAGCAAGAAATTCTAGTACAGGCTTGCAGCACTGGTTGGATATAGTATCTAGCAACCCTCTACCTTGTAGGCCCCAGGGATGTTGAGGTACTCACACTGCCCTGGTGTCCTGTAACTTTGGATAACCTACTTTCAGGTGTTTGCTGGGCTGGTTTTATTCCAGACTAACAGGATTTCCTTCCTCAGCACACTGTAAGGCAGCTTTCTTTCCTTCCTTCCTCCAGCCTGGAGGCAGAATCCCCCTTCTCTGAGGTCCCCTCACGGGCTACACAGCAGCACACCTCAGCACTCCATCTTCCATCTGACTTTACTTTGCTGGCTAGGCTCTCTCATATTTAAGGGCTGACCTAGCCATCTTGCCAGGCCTCCTGCATGGGGATTGGCCAGATTCCCCTAGGTATGAAGATCCTGCCTCCTTACCTTTGCCTACTAGTTTGTAGAAGTTTCCATGAAACTCCAGAACCAGGGTGATAAAGTACTGGTCTGCAGAGCCTTCCTGCCTGCCTGAAGTAAACTCACTGACTCACACCCAGGCTTCTAACAAGCCTCTAACTACACTGCAAACTATGTACACAAGAGTGGCACTACATTAGTGATTGGAAAGATGGAATGCCTAGAAGAGGTGCACAGTGAGCTGAGCTGCTGAGAAAACAACATTTATGCTCCTGCTGTGAAATTTGAGGATGAATTACTTCACAGTTCCAACAGCTAAGGAGGTCATTAGGGGTTGTTTTAAAGCTCATTTGCCACTACTTAAGAACATATAAACACTTGAATGTCTATTTTGGCCATAAGCTCACTTTACCAGCTTAGCTGGTATCCTTATGGCTGGAGGAGTGTGAAGTTCCCCTGGTATGCCCTGCAGTATAATGCTTCAATAGGTGAGCTATAACAAAAACGGGACACATACCAGCCTACGTTTGATGTCCATTAGAGATGAGCGAAGTATTCAAAAATTCGATTCGACTGATTCGGCGAATTCGTGGACAATATTCGATTCGAGTCGAATATATTCGCTGTGAATTTACCTTAAAAAAGGGTGTTTCTAGGCTTCAGAGAGACTTAATATTAGTGCAGAACACTGTACCTTTAATTTAAATGCCCTTGGAGTCTGCTGGGGAAGAGAAGTAATACTGTCAGTCAGTATGACATGCAGATGAGTGCCGTCGATCTTAGAATCACCGCACACTTCACTCATTTGGCCAGTCACGGGGCCAAAACCAGTGTTTGGAGCCACAGTGTGGCGGTGGAGGCAGCAGCAATGGGAGGCCATACAGCAACCTATGACAAAAATGGAAACCAGCAGGAGTGTGAGGAGACCTCAAAGTGGCACATGGCAGAGTGGGAGCAATGGGAGGCGGTACAGGGACCCATGTCACACTGTGGACCCAGCAGAAGCGTGACCAGGCGGTATGGGGGCCCATGGCAGATTACAGGCCTGGCAGCAGCAATGGGAGGCCCGTAATCTGTCAGCACCTATGACAAAAAATGGAACACACCAGCAGTGTGTGAGGAGACCTGAAAGTGGCACATGGCAGAGTGTGGCGATGGAGACAGCAGCAATGGGAGGCCGTACAGGGACCCATGAGAGACTCTGGACCTGGCAGCAGCATGAGGAGGCGGTATAGGGGCCCATGGCAGATTAGGGGCCTGGCAGCAGCTATGGGAGGCCCGTAATCTGCCAGCACCCTATGTCAAAAAATTCAACACACCAGCAGTGTGAGGAGACCTGAAAGTGGCACATGGCAGAGTGTGGCGATGGAGACAGCAGCAATGGGAGGCCGTACAGGGACCCATGACAGACTCTGGACTTGGCAGCAGCATGAGGAGGCGGTATAGGGGCCCATGGCAGATTAGGGGCCTGGCAGCAGCTATGGGAGGCCCGTAATCTGCCAGCACCCTATGTCAAAAAAATTCAACACACAACCAGCAGTGTGAGGAGACCTGAAAGTGGGCACATGTTTGGGGCATGATTCATGGCGGATTTAGTCAGTTGTGTCAGGAACTGGTGGTTTGAAATCCAGACTAATCCACGCCTGATTCATTTTCACAAACGTGAGTCTCTCCACACTTTGGGTGGACAGTCGTGTCCTCTGCGGAGTTGCAATACCTCCTGCCGCACTAAACACGCGCTCCGATGACCCCACGCTACTGGCCGGGCATGACAGCCTTTCAAGGGCAAATTCAGCTAGTTGGGGCCAAAGGTCAAGTTTCGTTGCCCAGTAGTCAAGGGGATTGTCTACCTCGGTTGGCAGGGTGCTGTCCAAGTAGGCCTAAGCCTGTTGTTTGAGGTCCTGCTCCAGGTCCACCTGATGCTGCTGGCTGCTGCTGCTGCTGCGGCTGGTTATTAGTTTCCTCACTGCGCTGGTGAATGAAAGCTACTCATCCATCGACTGCAGACTGAGGCAGGCTGCTGCTGGTGGGAGCTAGCCACTGCTCCAACACACACCTACCACCCTCACCTGCCTGCTCATGGCAAGCGTAAACGCCTAGGAAGCTGGCAGCCGGGCCCAGCAGTTGTACTTGAAGATGGACGTATGTGCGCTGACAGGCACGAGACCAGCTGACACTACATTGGTGGTATTCTATAGTAACGTTATTTTGGTCCGCCCTCTCAGCAGGTGTGAAAAAGGCCACCATTTTGGATCGGTTAGCGGAGGGTTCACAAACAAGCGTGGACAGCCACATCAGTCATCCCTCTGGTCTGGTTGGTTATTATTCGGCTGTCGGTTACGATCAAGCTAAAGCGACGCATGCTTATGGGACATTTGTGCCAAGGGATATGCGAGGGGAACTCCTGCCCCCCCCCTCCCAATCTCAACAGCATAACTGCCAACGGGTGCGTCCTGGGTCCTCTGTCTCCTCTTCATCCTTCCTCTACTAGTTGCCTCCTGCTCCTCCACTCCTTGGTCCGCTGAGTGGAATAGATCCACCCATTTTCGACTCAATAATAGCTTACTGAGCACAAATGTCCCTCCTCCTTCTTCTTGTCCATGCCACCACAGGGGTCATGTGGCGTAGAAGATCTGGTGCGCACACTCTACCGAACCCTGACACCAGCCATTATTAACAGCATTTGTTCCAGGACGTGGCAACAGGAGGGAATGACGTCGTTTATCCCATTGTCCTGCCGACTCTACGAATAGCGTGGCTACTCAAGGGACTCAGCAGCGCAGGTTGTGTACGCATGAGTGCCCAAATGGGCTGCATTAAAGTTACACTAGGGGAGTACCCTTTATCACGCTTTTAAACATCAGGCAATCTGTGGATGGGCTTTTGCTGTTCTTAAAGGCGGTCTAACATATGTAGGGTTGAATTCCACCTTTGTTGAAAAGTCACAGCGATGAGGAGTTCGGTTTACGGGGGCCATGGCAGATTTACGGGCCTGGCAGCAGCAATGGGAGGCCCGTATCTGCCAGTACCCTATGTCAAAAAATTCAACACACCAGCTAGTGGGGAGGAGACCTGAAAGTAGCACTTGGCAGAGTGTGGCGATGGGGACAGCAGCAAAGGGAGGCCGTACAGGGACCCTTTAGAGATTGGACCTGGGGGCGCTGAGGAGGCAGTATAGGGGCCCATGGGGTTAGGGGCCTGGCAGCGCTTAGGAGGCCCGTAATCTGCCGCCCCTTGTCAAAAAAATTCAACACCCAGCAGTGTGAGGAGACCTGAAAGTGGCACTGGCAGGACACTGGGACCCGGGCAGCGCAGAGGAGGCGGTTTTAGGGGCCCATTTGGGAGTTAGGGGCCCGGCGCAGTTGGGAGGCCCGTAACTGCCGCACCCCATGTCAAAAAATTTTAACACACCCGCGTATGTGGGGGACCTGAAAATGGC